GTACACATTCTCACTGAGTGTGTTCATACAAGCCATCTTGATAATATCAATGTCAGGTGCTGCGGATCACGGAAGCTACCGCAAAATGCTGTTGGTCATCTTTGCACTTATCGGGTCCGTTTCTACAATGCTGTTCCTTGCAGTCGTTCCAAGGCTCTACCTTCTAGGTGGGTTGTTAGCGATTATAGCTAATACATGTTTTGGAGCTTCTTTTGTACTATTGAATTCTTTTCTGCCTCTGCTGGTTCGCTATCATCCCATATTGCTGGGTGGACATGGTGAGGAGGATTCACCCACCGAGCCCAACCATGATTCGACCTCTACAGCCGATGGCTCGGGTCAAACCGACGAAACTGAAGTAACATCATTGCTTCGGCCAGAACAAAGCCGCAATGCCTCTACTACGGGCGATGATACTCAAGTGTTTGCCTCGAAAACTTCTCAAGAATTGAAGCTCTCCACAAAGTTATCCTCAAACGGGATCGGGATCGGATACATAGGTGCAGTGATACTGCAAGCAATTTGCATCCTGGTTGTTGTCGAAACTCACCAGACAACATTCTCGTTACGCCTAGTCCTCTTTTTGATTGGGCTCTGGTGGTTTACCTTCACCATACCCGCGGCAATGTGGCTACGTGCCCGGCCCGGCCCGCCCCTTCCATATGGGAAGGAGACTCGTACATGGACTAGTTATATGGCATACGCTTGGAAATCTTTGGGCAGAACAATAATGCGCACTCGACATCTGAGAGATATCCTGTTGTTTCTGGCAGCCTGGTTCCTCTTAAGTGATGGTATTGCGACAGTCAGCGGGACGGCCGTCCTGTTTGCAAAGACACAACTGGGAATGCAGCCAGCCGCTTTGGGGCTAATAAACGTCATTACGATGATTGCAGGAGTCTTTGGAGCTTTCTCTTGGAGCTTTGTGTCGCGAGCATTCAATCTCCGAGCTTCACAAACGATAGTTGCTTGCATTATATTATTCGAGCTTGTGCCGCTCTATGGTCTCTTAGGCTTTATCCCCGCAATCAAAAGTCTAGGGTACTTAGGCCTCCAACAACCATGGGAGATGTACCCATTGGGCGTCATATATGGTCTCGTCATGGGTGGGCTTTCTTCATACTGTCGGAGCTTCTTTGGGGAATTGATCCCTCCGGGATATGAGGCCGCATTCTATGCTCTGTATGCCATCACTGATAAAGGTTCCAGTGTTTTTGGTCCCGCCATTGTTGGCATCATCACCGACCGTTACGGGGAAATCCGACCTGCGTTCGTCTTCCTGGCTGTCCTGATTCTGCTTCCTTTACCATTGATGCTTTTGGTCGATGTAGAGCGTGGAAAGAGGGACGCGCTTTCACTTTCGAAGGAACTCGAGGGAAGAACCAGACAGGAGGTGCCGGCCTATGGAGCTGTCACCCAATGCCCGTCTCATAGCGAGGACCTAGTGGAATAGAGGCGATAGGATGACTTGTAATTCATGTTTTTACTCGTCTGAGTAGATGTGGCAATCACCCGAATGTGTTACTTGGTGTGGCCGAACAATGGCCCTGTTTGTACTGCCCCAGGTCTAGGGGACTGGATTGTTTATTTTAATAGCGCTTAGTAACTATATAGGCGGCATCCGCTGTACCTGATGTCCACCAGTACTTGCACTCAATTACCCAGCATAGTAGGTAGACACAACGTGAGTACTATGGTTAAATAGAAGTAATTCGAGACCTTGCCATGGAATGTGGCCCAGCTGGAAGGTCCGCAGGAGTAGGTTCAACCCTTGGAGGGGGGGGGGGAGGGAAGGGTAAAGGAGGAATGACTGAATACCAAGTAGTATCTAGTTAGCAACTACGGAGTAACAGCAAGTAAATAACTAATTTAACCTAGTAACTGAACCGTTACTCAATTGAGTAATAAAGGGATCCAAATTGGTCGATGTAGGGGCGGTACCTCGGTACCACTAAGACAAAAGTGGGTAAGTAGCTCCCCAGGGGAGATACACTATGGTCTCACAATAAATAACTAGTCATCATCATCATGGATACTGGTGTCCCATGTGCCTGAGCATGCATCTATGTCTACCATCCCTACCGGCCAATCGACCAAGTCGCCAGTAGCCATCGGTTTAGGTGTCTACCTGGTCACTACGTACTACCCTTTCTTAAGTGAAGTATGCCTAGATTACCAGTCCCTTGGTATGAAGGTCCCTTGCTGTCCAGGGCGGGTCCGGTTGAGCCAGTCAGAATGCTCAGCAGGCCAGCTGACTGCAGAAAGAACAGACTGTCCTCATCGCCTCTTCATAGCTACAGGAGGAGTGGATTAGCTAGTTAATTCAGGCGGATCAGCCTATGATACTACTGTACTATTTATTTAAGAACTATTTGCCTTCCCATTCGCCCCCATCGCTCTTTTCTCTTTCGGTAGCTTCTGCTCTACGCATCACCTGCCTTCCTCTCCCTCCCCTCTCCTCCCTCTACTCCGGGCGGTCTATTGTTTATTTTCATTGACTTTCGAGCTTCTTCGAAAGCCAACTGGGGAAAACGCAGACATCCATCGTGATACCCCCTCCCATTGCCCCCGACTCCGCTGCTATCTCTTCTGTATTCAAAAATGCGCTCCTTCGCGCCCTGGCTCGTTAGCCTTCTCGGAGCATCCGCGGTGGCTGCGGCTGCTGATACCGAGTCTGATGTTATCTCGTTGGATCAAGACACATTTGAGAGCTTCATGAACGAGCATGGTCTCGTCCTTGCCGAATTCTTTGCTCCTTGGTGTGGCCACTGCAAAGCCCTCGCGCCAAAGTATGAGGAAGCAGCCACGGAGCTGAAGGCGAAGAACATCCCTCTGGTGAAGGTTGACTGCACCGCCGAGGAGGATCTCTGCCGGAGTCAGGGAGTAGAAGGTTACCCTACTCTCAAGATCTTCCGGGGTGTTGACTCTAGCAAGCCGTACCAGGGCGCGCGTCAAACAGAATCGTGAGTTCAAGCCTCAAAAAATCGCTGTCATGTATGTGATGTGCCACTGACCCATACGGTGTTTCCTAGTATCGTTTCCTATATGATTAAGCAGTCACTTCCTGCAGTATCCTCAGTGAACGAGGGGAATTTGGAAGAGATCAAGACCATGGACAAGATTGTCGTGATCGGTTATTTCCCGTCCGACGACCAGAAAACTTATCAGGCATTCGAGAAATATGCTGAGTCTCAGCGGGATAACTACCTCTTTGCTGCAACGGATGATGCGGCCATTGCGAAGAAGGAAGGTGTCGAGCAGCCCTCCATCGTGCTCTACAAGGACTTCGATGAGAAGAAGGCTATTTACGATGGCGAGATCGAACAGGAGGCCATTCACAACTGGGTGAAATCCGCTAGTACTCCCCTTGTGGGCGAGATTGGCCCCGAGACCTACTCTGGCTATATCGGGGTAAGTAGGATCTATTCGTCAACCTGACATTCTCTTGCATCTCGGCTTGACTTTCGATGCCAACTTTCTGGCTGGACTGGCTAATCATTCTTGCACATAGGCTGGAATCCCATTGGCTTATATCTTTGCCGAGACCAAGGAGGAGCGCGAAAAGTACACCGAAGACTTCAAGCCTATTGCCCAGAAGCACAAGGGTGCCATCAACATTGCTACTATTGACGCTAAGATGTTTGGTGCCCACGCTGGAAACCTCAACCTCGACTCTCAGAAGTTCCCGGCATTCGCCATCCAGGATCCCGCAAAGAATGCCAAATACCCCTACGACCAGGCCAAAGATTTGGATGCCGAAGAGGTTGAGAAGTTCATCCAGGATGTTCTGGATGGCAAGGTTGAGCCTAGCATCAAGTCGGAACCTATTCCCGAGTCTCAGGAGGGTCCCGTCACGGTTGTTGTGGCTCATTCCTACAAGGATCTCGTCATTGACAATGACAAGGATGTCCTGCTCGAATTCTACGCACCTTGGTGTGGACACTGCAAAGCGTATGTCTATACGACTCTCCCAGGCTTACTGTAAGAGCGCAACCAACTAACGATCAATATATAGTCTTGCTCCGAAGTATGATGAGCTCGCAGCTCTCTACGCTGACCACCCCGATTTGGCGGTTAAGGTTACCATCGCCAAAATCGATGCGACGGCCAACGATGTCCCGGACCCGATTACTGGATTCCCTACCATCCGACTTTACCCCGCCGGTGCCAAGGACTCTCCCATTGAGTTCTCTGGCCAGCGCACTGTCGAGGATCTTGCCAACTTTGTGAAGGAGAATGGCAAACACAACGTCGACGCCCTTAATGTCGCTCCTGAGGAAACCCAGGAGGGCGGTGATGTGACTGAGGCTGCTCCCTCCGCTACGGAGGCCGAGACCCCGGCTGCCACAGAGGACGAGAAGGCAGAACATGATGAACTGTAAACGGTCTTCCGGTTATGATCCCGCTTAGTACTGTGCCGTATCAATCACTAATTATCTGAAATATTGATTTTCCATTGTTGCCATTTGTAATTTCTTGACCAATCCGTTGTTGGTTGACCTTGTTAGCTAAATTGACCAATTTCTATATGGCCAATGTGGTGAATATACAATTTGCTCCACACTTGTCTACCTCATTCCATGGAATGAAACTCAGGCTTGTCCGAAACTGGAGTCCACGGAAATCCATGTGTAGCATTCACAGGTGAGCCCGATGACTGAATCTTACTCTTACTATAGACAAAAGGCTGGGTTGGCACGTCAATGACTGCTGCAACAGTTGTTAATCCCGACACCGTGACCCCAAATTCAAGCGAAGTGTGTACCAGGGTCGAAAGAGCAAAAGAGCAATAAGACTCTGACATCTAAACCATACATCATCACCGTCTCAGTCTCATGCAAGCGGACACGGTGAATAATACCGTGATTCATGACCCAGGAAGGTGGCTCGATTTTATCACGACTTCACTCTATTAGCTCCCTCGGGTTATGAGCAGTGGAAATAGAGATGCAATGAGGGAAAGAGACTTGAAATTTTTACGAAGTACCCAGTGTTAGCATCTACCTGGTCACTTCTGCTGCTGCTAGGGCTTCCAGCGCATCGAGATCGTCTTCAAACTCGTCAACGGCCTCGGTAGATTTGGCAGGCTCTGTTGTTTTGGAAACCTCTTCCTTCACCAAACTAGCATCTGACTCCTTAGCGATAGATTTTTTCGGGGCACCAGTGAGAGCAGGGCTTTGGATGGTGGTAAAAGGTGAGCTGATTTTGCTCTTCGAAGTCAACGACCAGTCAATGACTTCGTCGGCACCATAACGTTCAGCAAGCCACTCATTGCATTTTTTAAAATGTTGGTTTCCGAACTGCAAAATAATCCAACGTCAAAATCATATGGCCAATAACCGATGGTAACAAGAATCTACTTACGAATCCTCTTGACGCACTTAGCGGGCTTGGATGGACCGATTGCAAAACATAATGCTTCGCTCTATTGATGCCTGTCACACGCTTCCCTGCGGGTGTTCCCCATGCAAGAAAAACAACTCCGCGCGTCCGTACTCGGGCCACCAAGTCTATGGCTTTCTGCGTGAACAATTCCCATCCCTTGTTTGAATGGCTAGCGGCCTGGTGTGCGCGTACAGTCAAGCAAGTGTTCAGCATTAATACACCACGCTCAGCCCAGGGTATGAGAAGGCCACCCTTGTTTGCGGGTCTTTGGAAAGAGGGATAGTCATTCTGAATTTCGTTGAAAATGTTGACGAGGGAAGGCGGGGCAGGAGTTGGAGGGCGGACGGAAAATGCAAGACCATGAGCCTGGTTATAATTATGATAAGGATCTTGGCCGACGATGACCACCTTCACCTTGTGGAGAGGCGTATGACGAGACCTAGTATTCAAGATTAGTTACCCCGATTGCTCATATAAATGATAGCGTCAATTTGGAAGACGATGGCGATTTACCATGAGTAGATATCTTCTTCGGGAGGAAAGATTTTAGCCCCCGATTGCTTTTCCTTCTGGAGGAAGCGCTTCAGCGCTAGGAACTCCGGCTTGACGACTTCCTCCTTAAGCTGTGCCAGCCAGCTCTCGTCGAGAGTGTCAATTTCAAGTTGGAGGAGCTCCTTTTGTTCTGGAGTCAATGAGTCGACCCATTTCTGCTTGTTGAAGCTCGATGAAGACGAAGTGGGCTTTGGGTCGCTGGGTTTGCTTTTGGGGGCCCCAAAGAATGAAGTGATGCTTCCATTGGCCTTGGGTTTCTTGGAATCGGCCTCTGGTGTCGTCAAATGATTAGCATCACGTTTCATGCCCGCTCTACCGGCCATGTTGCCGACAATCGTATGTCGCCTTTTGTAGGTGATTGTGAGAAAGTATGTCTCCAGAGAATAAGGGCCAGAAAAAATGGATTGGGAAGAATCAATGGGAAGAGGCAGACGATGAAGGAGCGTAAATGAAGCTGGGAAGGGAACTTGACAGATTCCAAAAGTGAGGCGAGGGTAAAGAAGAAGAACAAGAAAGAGACAGGATGAGGAAGTGAAAAAGGAGGACAGGGAAAGCCCTTCAACAGGTCGAATCGTCAGGAGATAATGCATAGGAATGGATACTCAAGAAACCCTTCCAGCCGCAGCGGAGCACTGGCCGGCAAACGCGTCGCAGTTGCGCGAAACCCACGCGTTAATTGGGCTTCCATGACAGGTCCGGACCGTCTGGGAGGAGGAATATCAATTCTCCGTTCGATAAAGAATTGGATGTCGTCACAGCGTAATCTTCGTGGTACGCGCTATCCAATACTTCCCCCGTAAGTTAGAGCATAAACTAGTACATTGTAATGACTACTAGTAGGAAATAAGTTGATCCTTGGAGATCTAGACCATTGCGCTTTCCTTGCCTGTCAACCAAGGTACGTGCAAGTCAACCCGGGAATATCCTTAATGGCCAGATACACGTTACTCACTCAAACTAAGGTAGTTGACCTGGTTTATCGATTAATTACCGTTTTATCATGAACTAGTCGTCGACTTACACAAAACGCCACCTGGCATGGCGAGTCATTACTTCTGAGTCATTAAATAAAAACAAAAAGAAAAGCCATGGAGCTTACTTGGCTTGCCGATACCCCTCAATCTAGACGCCGGACGCGGGCGTTGCGAGCATGTGCGACTTGCCAACGACGAAAGGTATGTGATCTCCCATTTTGTGGTGGACTGGTGGCTAAATTCTGACGAGTTCATCTCATCAATAAAAGAAACGCTGCCGCCATCTAGACACAGCAAACGGCGTAAGCCATAATCACGTCCTACAGACAGGCGCTAGCAGCCATGTACCGCTTCAACGGCAACAACAGAGTACCGCGGTCACCGGCGATCAACCGGTTGATACGACCCTGGCCGGTAGCCTTAGCATTCCAAGCAGCGTGCCCTCGAGCACCTCCCAAACTGAACGGTTTGTTGGAGATCTGAATCCAGAAGCTGTGATCAGGGAGAAATTGGACTCTGCCAACGCAAGCCATCTGCGCGATCGAATCGGGCTCTGGATCAGCTCCTCAGACGTTCACGGTCATAGAAAACATGTGCCTAATACTGATCCTGAGTGGACCGGACACCGTCCCCAAAATGGGCCAGAGTTACAATCCGTCGCATCCGCGCTCAATCAACAATATTCATCTGGTATGGATGCCTGTGGCCGTTTGCCCCATTCTACCCGCCATCATCTGTTCTCCATCTATTTCAGCAAGGTCAACCATATCCTGCCCCTTGTCGACCAGGCATCTTTCGCCCAAGCCAGCTCGGATGGCGTCGCATCTGTTTTTCTGGAGAGAGCCATTTGCCTTGTCGCTGCTAAAGATAGGGCGGCTGGTCCTCACCTTCGCTTTAGCAATGATGGCCCCCTCATTTCCTCTCGTTCATTCTGCTCTAAACTATATCACGGATTGGTAGTCGCTTTAAATGTCGGGCTGGAACCTGATAGACTTTGTCGTATCCGCATCTTGACCCTTATGTCACTGCATTGTGAGGGGTACGAAGGTGCAGAAGCGGCGTCTATGCACCTGTGTCAGGCCATTCATCAAGCTCAGACGGTAGGCCTGCATTTGGACCGACCGGGTCGGGCACCCGGCGATTCTCTATTCAACCTTTTCTGGTGCCTATGGGGCCTGGATAGGATGCATGCCTGTATTGGGGGTCGCCCAGTCATCCTCTCCGACTGCGATATCGGAATTGAGAAACCGAAAATTCAGGATATTTCTCCCAGATCCGCCTTTGATATCTGGTTTGCAATATCTGATCTTCTGTCGACCGTGATCTCGCTTTATCGGCCATCATCGGACCATACAGTTGGATGGGAGGGGGAATTCCCTGCATTTGAAGGCATTACAGGCGATAAATTGCAAGGTGACCTGGACTTCACTACACTAGGTATGTCTCTTTAGCATGTCTTCCATCAATCCATGTCTGAGAAGAAACGGTACGGCCTAGCTCAGAGGGAAAGGGGGTTGATCTGTTTCCAAGGACGGTTTGCTAATCACGGAAAGAAAAGGTCTCCTTGAGCTCTACTATCATGCAGTTGCCATACTGTCATGCAGATACAAGGTTACCCACCGGTCGGATGAGTCCAGGCCTTCATATGTCCGCCAAGGTCTTGCTGCCATCCGAATCCACTCCATTGCTGCTATCGAATGCTCCCAAGAGTTACCGCCTTTGCCGATTGTTCCATACGCATTAGCACTTTCTATGGGTGTGTCATATCAACAATTTCGCTCAAGTAAGCTCATCACGCATCTTGATCGAGCCCGAACCAGCCTGGAAGCTTGCTGTACTCTGCTCGAAGAACTGGGCGGGCTCTGGTATTCTGCAGAAGCAACGGCACGACTGGGCCGGAAAGCGTTGCACCAAATTGACGAGGCCGAGCTTGGACATCACCAACATGGCCGGGCTGCCAGTCCCGCCACGCCCACAACCCAGAATCCGAGGGCGTTTCTCTCCCCGCCTCCGGATTCATCTTTCGATCCCGCCCAGGGTACTCAGAGTAATGTACGCAGTGGGGCGCCCTCGACTGCGCTAGGGCAGGAACTTCCGCCCCGGCCATTTTACTCGCAAGATATCAGTGCCCCAGACCCTGAACATGACAGCTTTACGGACATCGACACGTTGTTTGGAGATTTCCTCGATCTCTCCCTGCCCACCAATTTCTGGGACCCCTTGTTCATGGCAGAGCCACCTCCCGGGACCTAGTAGGACACCCCCTCAGGAATTCCAGGCTCGGCTTAGGGCGAGCGTAGTCCTGGCTACAGCATCTTCGGGGGGCCGGCATCAGGGTCTGCGCGCAGGTTCGCAAGACCGACGACAAGGATTGGCTCGAATTTGTGCCGATCTCTATTCGCTACCAAGGCTGACGGGCTCATCACTCGGCCAAGCTTACTTCATGTAGCACTTGAGTAACTCGTCGCTGAATATAGCGAAGTAGCCGGCCCAGACAGAGGTGAGAGCCCAACAAGCTTATCAGATCATCCTTTCGCTAAGATCAGGGCCAATGATTAAGGTAGCGGCAAGGCAGGCAGAGTACGCAGAGGCATGGCGTGACGAGGGGGCAGACTAGTTAGATGGTTCGTTAGGAGAGGCCGAGGGAGTCTAGACGTCGACCGGTCTTGACCGGTTCGTGTTGCGGCCAAGTGGAGTCGCCCGACATCAGATCGTCATCTTCCGACGATTCTCATTAAACGTCAGCCACTGGAGGACCGCCATTGGTGTCCACCGTCCGCATTGTCAATGAAATTATGCTTGTGCTAATTACAAAGTAGCCTCAGCCCCGTTTCCATGAATCCTGGCACTTTTTTTTTCGTGACTCGTAAGGCCCGGAAGGCCATGAGGGCTGCCTGTCGGCTGCTTGTAATTTTAAATTGTTGACCTCCACTTCCAACCAACTCCCCTCCACCCCCTTTCCAACCCGTCTAGTGTCTGTTCTACGTTTCATTTTTCTATAAACTGGGGGATAACCACTTGCCACCTCTTTCTTCCACAGCCTACTCCGTCTGTGCCTTGTATAAAGCTAGCTAGCTGTCCGGGTCCCCAGACTGGAGATAAACCAACCTCAGCCCTAACTAACATCGGCGGGGTCGATTGGGCGCAAATTTCCACTGATTGTTCGAACATTTCCCTCCCTCGCCTCGCCTCGCCTATATTGCTATCAATTTACTTCCTGCGGCGGTCCCACCACTCTTTTGACACATGTCACGTCTCCCATGCGCAATCTAATCAACAGCTGAAGCTTGCTCGTTTTCTTTCTTTCTTTCTTTCTTTAATTACCGAACGATCAAGCAATTAATCACCCTCACCCTCACCCCACCCGCCTTCCACTTTGTATCTGCACGGGCGTGTGTATACGTGTGCGTGTGCGTGTGCGTGTTTCCATTTATATACAGCAACGTGTACACGGAGGCCTGCGGACTCCGTTACATGTCTTCGCCACAGCCGTTAAATATTACTGTCGTTGCTTATATGCGCTCTTTGCTCGACCCGATAAAAAGATTTACTGCAAGGATGCTACTATGAGCAACCCCTTCATTAAGCCTAGATATCCCGCTGAGGGTTCGGCCGTGTGCAGCTTGATCGCGAGGAGAGGTATTTACCTGTATAATGCTGTTGTTGCGCAGGGCGAGCAATATCACTATAGCCCATCATTTACGGATTTGCATTTGAATTACGGGAGACGGAGAGAGAGAGAGAGTGTGTGTGTATGCGCGCGCGCGCGTGTGTGTGCAACTAGAATACAAGGTCACGGATACTGAACTCCAGTCTTTACACCTATTTATGGCGTCTCCAGCGGAAAGGGAAGGAAGGTTGGCAGTTTCTGCCAATGCCCGACCAAGCGAGGGGATCAAACAAACCAAGGAACGGCGACCAGGCCAGTTCTCAAGGCACCCAATCTCTCAGCTGCAGGGACCCTTCGAGGAATCGATACAGGAAGCCATTGGCATTGGGAACGGTAGATGGGTAGCCAATATTGATGCTCAATCTCGGCGCAAAATCCTACTCGAAAGCCCCAATTATGAACGGCTTTGTGGCAGGAAATGGCGCCAGAGAGCCGATGAAAGGCAAGCACTCGGTCGAGCTCCGGTCCCTTGGACTCGCTCAGCAACATTGCAAACTGACTGCCTCTAGATATCACCCCCTATGGAAACTCATCGCCCAGATGTCCTTTGGGGTCCACCTACTAGTTGGAAAACTCGCCAAGTCCGACGTGGAGGTCTTGAAAATCCTTCAGGTTCATGTAGACGAGATGGATGGATTTCTTAAGAGGACCTCGGAAGATTTTTTAATCATCCAGATTGACGTGCGCACACGGAGTAAGTATCTTAGCCTACCTCTCGAGAATCTAATGGTTTTCGATGAGATGCTGGAGGATCGCAGTTTCCGTGGCTCTATGATCGAATATAATGACAGGATCGAACACGCCATTGATCGATTCGCAACTGCGATCGAAGATTCCCTGAAAGACATCCAAAAAGGCCGGGAGGCGGTGGGTGCGCTATGGACATACCTTCAACAGTCAGCCGAAAAGCATAGTCCATTGCCTGTTAGACTACTGGCTGTCTACCAGGCTATGCTCGCAAACGCGGAGGGCTGGAACATAGCACTTTCGAATCTCCGTCGGAAAGGTGTCGCTCTACAATCGGCCCTTCTTCAGCTTGGCCTAGCCACGACAGAACTGCAGCGACGTGTGGGAGTAGCAAGTCGAAAAGCTGTTGTAAGTTACCAGGGGACTGTTAAACTCATAATTGCGTGCCCGAGCTGAGATTTCGACAGGTGTCCTACATGCGAAGTACCAATGGATTGACCCGAAAGAAATCACTGCGGCAACGATTCATGGAAAGAGGCTCATTCGTTAGCGCGCCGGCCTCGACTCCGAACAAACCTCTTCCCCGTGCTCCGGACCGTCCGGCGACAGCGACCCTCTCCCGGTCGACTGACCGTAATAGGCTCACGCAGAAGAGTGTTCCGAATCTCAGGGCGGCCAGGGAGAATGACGAGCGTAATCCGCACACGAAGCTACCAGACCGAGCCAAGTCTGTCAACGGTACTACTGACGGCTTCGACTCGGAAGGCTTTGTGCTTAAGCTTCGCCGTCTCTCCCGATCCAAGCTCAGAACAAGGGAACTTGCAAGCGAACATCCTGAACCCCTACCAGTGCGCCCTTCCACTGCACCTTCCAGGGCGTCGAAAGCTCGAAGTATATATCTGGAACCACTGAAGTCCCTGCACAAAAGTAAAAGGGAACCAAGTCAGAAGGCTCATACTTCAATGGTGCCAGCTCAAACGGAACGTCCGGTTGCTGCTCAACCTTCAGCCAGACGAGAAACGATGAAAAACCAACTACTGCAGTATTTCAAATCCGACAAAGTGGTTGATGCTTGGGAACATGAAACGCAAAAAGAGAAAAACAATCCTGAGGATTCCTCCCAGGCCAAAAAGGCCGGCCCTTGGAGCGAATTTTGTGCAGAGTCGTCCATCAATGACGATGGCTGTCTACAAATAAAATCGGACATGGTCGGATCTGATCTGAACAATGATATGGCATGGCTCCAGGAGGATGCTGGCGCGATGAATACTTATTCCTTAAAGCCAAAGAGGGATGTCGGACCCAGGATCCACGTCCTTTCGGTCCAATTTAGCCTTGCGCAGGATGATAACGAACTAGAAAAGCAAGACCCTGAAGCGGAGCTTGAAGATACACAATCGGTCATAACAGCTCTTCCTTCCATACCAGCCGCGCCGGTGAATACGGAAGAATTTCATCCTCATTCGCTTTATCCTGGATACAATCTCGGACATTCCCCCGAACCTGCCACGGTCTTTACCTGATAAGGCCAGGATATTTTCAGGCGGCTTCAAGCCTGCCGGGCATGCCATCTGAAAGTCCAAGTTCAGTGTCACTGGGGCCGAAGTTCGCCACACATTGTTGCTTGAACAACTGATCGTTTGCGACGTGGAACAAGGCAAGCAGCAAGTCCTTGTGCCTTTCGGGCCCGGGAATATCTTGTAATAACCCCCAATACGGATACTACTCTGTACGACAAATTCTAGTTTCGGCCCTGTGAGCCACGCGGCCCGAACGCAAAGGCAGTGCAACCAATTCAACGACAAGAAGATAGGGTGAAGCAAGTGTATATCTATCTCTGTTGTATATGCGCCTACGTGATTTCGTGTTCACATTGTAATCAGATCGTGGCGCTCCCATATCAGACGGAACCTTGAGTACCTCAGCAGCTTTGCGGCCATAGGAGCTCGTCTACTGGCTTACGCGCGTATGATGCACGGCGCGGTACATCTAGCTGGAACTAGTAAACAATATAAGGAAGAGACATATATGTCTCGATATTCACACCGGAATTAAATCGTATTAACGGATGCACCGATTCTCCTGGGCTGTAGTTATGAATAGCACACGAAGGTGTTCAGAAAATGATTACGGGCAGTAAACAACAGAAGGTAGAAAAAGGAACATAAATTTTTGAGAGAAGGCGGAGGGGAAGATTGAAGGACGTAAAAAAGACGAGTAAGACATCCCAAAGACAATCTTCTACTTGCAGCGTTTCTCGACAATATTCGGACCATGTTCGTCAAACTCCTTCTTGGAGATCCACATCTGATGGAAGGTACCCAAACTGGCGAGGATACTTCCACCGATCCAAGAGCCAAACTTCCGCTCCGCGGTGTTTCCTGGGGCCGATATACGAACGCGTGGACCTGGGAACATCTGCATGAGCTCCTGGTTCAAACGGTCGGTGAAACCATAGAGTAAGCTGGAGGCACCCGTGACAACAACGTTAGCCAACAAGTGCGGGCGGATGTCGACGTCGACGCCGTTCAGCGCATTCTTGATGAGCTCGGGCACAGTTTGTGCCGGCGTCGGTGCGGGGAATGCCGATTCGGGGTCCGGGATTGCAGCTTTGGCGTCGAATAGGGATTCGACGACCTTGTAGCGATCGACTCCGAAGACCTGGTTGTAGCCGTCGGGGAACTCGAAGGGCCGGCCGGGGCTGCTCTTGGCCAGTTCTTCGTTCGAGACGCCGTTGGGTCCTGTGGCGGAGAGCTTGTTGGGGCCGGGCCAAACTTGGACAACACATTCCTTGAACTCGGACAGGGTTCGCTCTTCCAGAAGTGTTCTGTAAGATGCGTCAGGAGCTCTGTCGGGGGCGAAAGTCTTGTATTTAGCTTGTGGGGGTTGGCCGGCATCAACTGCTGTCTTGGACGAGATCAGATAATGAGGAGTGATCGTTATCGGCTGCGGGGCGTTCGACTTGAAGAGAGCGCGGATCTGAGATGAGATATAATCACCACCGAGAGGGGAGTGCTGCACTCCCCGCTTCAGTATCATACCGTCGTGGACCGGAGTTACGGAGATGTTAGAAGCGCCAATGTCAATCACAAGGGCGGAAGCCTTGCCGGCCGCAAAGCTTTAGGCGAGGAAGCATGTTAGCGAAATCTACAAAGACTCAGGCCATCGAACTGACAGGTCGGTACTTACGCTGAAAGAACACCGTTCCTGGCTAGATAGAAGGCCGGGGTTCCCCACTTCTCCATAGCAAGCTCGATAGTCTTCTCGCGCGACTTCGTGGGATTCCAGCCGGGCTCCGACATCAGCAGCGGGCTATCAGCAAGCAGCTTCTCCTCGGTTTCCACCCCTTCCATTTCTGTAGATAATTCGCCCTCCGGCACGTCGTTCAATCCGTTCTGTAGGGGATTTCCAGGCTTTGGGCCCGTCAGGCGCGACGTGAAGGCATATTCCCATACTTTCTCTGCCATGTCCCAGTCCTCCACGATTCCATCGCGACCCATTGGGTTGTGAATCGACAGACCGGGCCGGGGCGTAACAAAGATATCATCACCGAAGACCAACTTCGACTGGCCATCTGAAGAATATCTCCCGTAGTATGTCGGAATCAGGGATTTGGGTGTGTCTTCCCCTGCAAATCCAGCTCGTGTCGTCGAGAAGCCGGGGTCGAGCACAATCGCCGACACCTCATCTAGACATTGAAGGGTCAGAAGTGCTCACAAGAAAGTGTCGCGCAAGAAAGAAACGTGTCCTCAGCTACGCGCAACAGAGGAATTGACATACCTCCGCCATATTCAGCCGTGGAAGGTGGGATGGAGGGATTCATGGTCGGCGTAGACGAGCCAGGCGAAAGGTTTTAGGATGGTTCACTGCCCGATTTCAACCAACGACGCCGATGTGGGAGGGAAAGAGTAATCGAAATTGACGACGAGCGGTGGGGGATCTTGTAGCCAACGGTTGCAGCGGGGCAGTTGGCAGAGGTAATAGAGGTAGAGAAAGAAGCGATTAGAGCAGATGATTGATTGATAGTGGAGGAGGCACGGGTAACTACTAGTTAACTTGAGATGGCCGATGATTGAATGAATAATCGCGGCGCGGCGGGAAGAGCGCGCCAGACTCTATTATCTACTACTACTACTACTACCGATTGCTCACCATCTACCGCCATCGCCTCGGTCTTATCTCCTTGTTTCACTGCACAATAATTCCTTCTGACCATTCTCTTCGTATAAATTATCTCTCAGTACCAAGTGGGATCTTTATCTGTCCCGGGGAATTTCAGGGACTTACTTTATGGAGCCAGAAATTGACCCAGCCTCCCTCTTCCGGCCGGGCAAGAGGCGGAAGTTCCAGCGACGCCGGCCAGAGGACAACGACGAGGAATCGCCTTCTGCGACAGAAGATGTTGCTCGTGTTTCAGAATCATCTACACCTCCGTCCTGGCAGGATGCCCCAAGCTCTGTCCCCACAGCAGAGATTCTTCGTTCGCGACGGCTTCAGCGAGCTCGAAAGGGTGGCATCGAATTCTCCGCCACCTCGCGGCCATCGGCCGGTAAGAATAGTCAAACGGCCATTTCAACCGTGGCGGAGGAGGATCAAGAAAATGAAAGGTTGCGAGCAATGTGCGATCGATTCACGGCCCATACTGGCCAAACGGTTGATGTTGACAAGCATATGTACGGCTCCCCCGTCTCTGTTTCTGTGCTTCGCATGCGCCACAACTGCAATGGCGACTAACAAGATAAGGATGGATTTTATAGAGTCTGAAATGGCTAAGCGATACCGGCGCGACAATTCGACCGAAGTTACGACGCATGATACACCTTCGGCGACTGAACCGAAAGCGGCTGCTCTGTCTTCTGCTGACCTTCCCCAACGCGAGCCGGCGTCTCTTGGGAAACTGCACGAAATTGATCTTGGTCACGAGACAACGTTGCAGAATATTGCCCGTACAGAGGCAGCGACGAAGAGACTCGCCGGGGATGGCGATCAAAGCTCTCCCACCGAGCAGAGCTCCGGGCCCAAGATGGCCCCGGTAAATGGGGACCAGAAGACGTGGCGCAATCGGAAACGACGGACGAGTGAAGACATTGAACGAGATCGACTGGTGGAGGAAGTATTACGGGAAAGTAAATGTGAGTCTTCCATACGGTTCTTGAAATTGCACTGGGACCGCGTTATTTTTCTTTTTGGAGTTTTGCTTCCTTATCAAAAGTCCTTTGCGCTGACGTATATGTCGATATTAAGTGGATGTCTACGAGGGGCCAGAAGAGGAAGGTGACGAAGCAGTGGGTGAGGATGGGCAAGCGGCCGATGATAGGGTGGCAGAGCAGTTCAGAAGGGACTTTCTCGATGCCATTCAATCCCGGCGTCGTGTTGCGCGAGCAAGGAATACGAAGACAACCAAGCCCGAGGCTCCGCGCGGGCCCAAATTGGGAGGCAGTAGAAGTGCCAGAGCAGCGATGCGGGAGATGCAAGAGAAGTCTACCCGTAAATGAGACATTGAACGTTGACGGAGTTTGTATATATAGAAGTTCCCAAGAAAATACATTTGGGAAGCTAAAAGACTTGAGACGGGGCCAATCGGTATTTTATCTTTACTTCTCACTAAGATGAATGAAGCTCAAGATTCGACGTCTAGTATTTGGGGTGCAACTGAGTAGATTCAGGGACGGGGCCATGACATATATCAGTAATGTATGTACTACTAGTAGTAGTATCTCATGGGGGCATCAGTTTGGCTATGTCGGTATAGATAGTACTTAGATGTATATATTTATTCAACTCCACCGAGAGGAAACGCGGCATCGGTGGAGAATACCAGAACTGGAAAATATCTCCCCTCATCCACACTCCCTCTTTCTCCCCCTCGCCATTTTTCCTTTGCCAATATTTTAATTTCTCTGCAGATTCATTTTCACAGATTTGCAATCCTCCAAGCAAACAATGGCTACACAGAAAGCTGCCCAGTGGGCAGCATCCCTATCGTATTCTTCGTTACCTCCGGACGCCCTCCAAGCGGCCATCCGGAGCTTCTACAACTGGGTCGGCTGCACTGTCGGGGGCAGCAATCACCCCGCTGCTTCCATTGCCCGGAACTCTTTGTCCCGCTTCTTCGGGTCTCCCACCTCAACATTGTTAGGTACTAATGGGCTCCAAGCTGATGCGCAGCATGCTGCATTGATCAATGGAATTGCATCGCATGTCCACGACTATGATGACACGCACTTGGAGACTATCATTCACCCTACCGGGCCTGTTGCGGCAGCTCTTCTGAGCTTTGCGCAGTCCCTAGATCGGCCAGTATCTGGGCAAGAATTCCTCACGGCTCTCGCCGCAGGGATAGAATTAGAATGCAAGGTCGGTCTGGCTGTCTGGCCGAGCCACTATGATGTCGGCTGGTATGTCTGCTAGGCTTCTCGCCCCCACGGACCCCTCACCCAAAACAGCCCTGTTTGATGGACTGACACCATTCTTTAGGCACATCACTAGTACTACTGGTTCTATTGGGGCAGCAGTGGCGGTGTCTCGTCTCCTCGAATTGAACCCAGAGAAGACGGCTCATGCTATCGGTCTCGCTGCTACCCAGGTGACTGGTCTTCGTGAGATGTTTGGCTCGCACACCAAGTCCTTTCACCCTGGGCGCGCAGCCCAAAATGGTCTTTTAGCGGCTATTCTTGCTGCAGATGGATACACCAGTTCTTTGCAGGCTCTGGAGGCCAAGCGGGGCTGGGTGAAGGTCGTGAGTAACGACGACAAGCTAACGCAGGAAATTGACAGCCTGGAATCCAATGGAAAGTGGGAACTTGCGAAGAACGCCTTTAAGCCGTTCCCGTGTGGTATTGTCATACACCCGGTCATTGATGGCTGTGTTTGGCTACATGGTGAGCTGCAACGGCGGGGCCTCAGACTACAAGACATCAAGAGTGTTCATGTCACAGTTCACCCACTGGTCCTGGAGCTAACGGGAAAAACAAAACCTAAAGATGGGCTGGAAGCCAAGTTCAGCGTTTATCACGGCGGTGCGATTGGCTTGATTCACGGAAAGGCAACACCGGCAGAGTATGAAGATGCCGTTGTCACAAATTCGGAAACGATCGAGGTACGAGACAAGTTTGTGGCAACGGCGGCAGAGAATATCCGAGCGGATGAATGCCGGATTCTCGTTGATTTTGAAGCCCCGGGGGTCCAGATAGAGAAGCATGTACACCATGCAGTGGGCAGTATCGACGCCCCCGTGACCGACAGCCAGCTCACGGAGAAGTTCATTGGCCAGTGTAGTTCAGTTCTTGGCCCAAAACAGGCCATGATAATCAGCGATTGGTGCTGGAACTTGGAAACCAAGGATGACATCCGGCAGATTGGACAGTTCCTATAGGCCATCAAAGCCGCATCTGGGGATAGCGGAGAATGATCCTCCGTGGAGAAGATGCGGGGAAAGACGGTTCCCGTCTTGTAGGAGATAACAATGTGTGATCATATAGCCATTTTCCGTTTATATTTGTACAAATGTGCGGGGAACGATGTCAAGAGCCTCGGAATTGTTTTGCTCATAAAGGCGATGGAAACCTGGAACGGAGAGCACGATTGAGGAGACAGCGATCTGTATCTACTATCTAGACAGCCAACAATCCAGCAACCATGAGCAACCGCACAGAGGATGCGGTCGAGAATCCTGACGTAAAGGCAGACATCTCAGAATTGGAGTATGTGAAGGGCAATGCTCCTGGGAATGCTGGCCCGACCTTCAGCATAGAGGATGAGAACCGCGTCTACCGCAAACTCGACTGGAATCTGATGCCCCTGGTCTTCGTCCTATATAGTCTCTCGGTCCTTGACCGCTCGAATCTGGGAAATGCGAAGATCGCAGGCATGGAAGATGACATAGACTTGAGTGGGAGGCGGTATGATTGGCTTGCCACTGCTTTCTATATAGCCTGTGAGTTATGAACCTTACCTAGACCATCAATTGCCTCTTGCAGCGACTTGAGAAACCTGCTTGATCTTGGTTAGAGCATATCCTAACAAGCGCAATCAGACATTCTGTCGCAATGGACGACAATCGGTTGGAAAGCGTTCCCACCGCACCGGTGGGTAGGTGTCACTGTGTTCCTATGGGGGTTTGTCTCGACGATTCAGTCAGCATGTACAAACTGGGCCGGCCTGATGGTCTGCCGAGTCTTTCTGGGAATAATCGAGGCGATGTATGGGCCAGGGGTGCCCTTGTATCTCTCCTACTTTTATCCGCGTGAGAAACTGGGCCTCCGGACTGGCATATTCTTGTCAGGAGCCGCTCTAGCGAATGCATATGGGAGTGCTCTGGCGTATGGAATTTCCCAAGCTAAAGGGTCAATCGGAACATGGAGAATCCTATTCATCGTGGAAGGTGTGCCGTCATGCCTTCTGGCCATAGTTGCTTGGTTTTGTCTGCCCGATTCACCCAAGACAGCAAGATTTCTAGATGAGCGGGAGCAAGAAATCGCGGTTGCACTCTCCTTACGACAACCTGGGGATCGAGAAACCCAGGGTCTGCAATTGAAGCAAGTGCTGGGGTCCTTGCTTGATTATACAAGTAAGTACCCAAAGGCACCCAGTCCTCCTGTGCCCCCTCTTCTAATGCATCCAAATAGGCTACCCCCCAGCACTAATGTACTTTGGATGCAATGTCTGCTTCGCCTCACTCCCATTATTCGTGCCGACCATCATCTCTGAAATGGGGGCTTTCACAACCATCCAATCAAACGGTCTCAGCGCTCCTCCATATGTCCTTTGCTGGATAGCCATTGTCATCAGTGCATTTCTGTCGGATCGCGTCAACTTGCGCGGGCCCTTCATCGTGGGTGGCGCACTCATAGCTGCCATCGGATACATTGTGCTAGCTACGCAGACCACGGTAGCAGTCAGGTACTTTGGCCTGTTCCTGGCGACCCAGGTCTTTGTGTCCGTAGCTCTCATTCTCACATGGGTTGGTAACACACACGCCACGGACTCCAAGCGCGCTGGAGCTTTTGCTATCCTGGCTACTGGCGGCCAATGCGGTCCGATTTTGGGAACGAACGTCTTCC